GGGGAGGGGGGCGGAAGGGAGTGGTGGGGGGAGGAGGGTTAGTGGGTTAAATTCTTTTAAAATTATTGTACGCTGAGATTTTATTAACGCAATGGTAAAATCATTTTTTCTTGATCTGACTCAGGGTGGCTCATGCCATTATGGGTAATCAGGGCAAATTTACAAAGAAGCAAAGCAAATGTTTATCTTTATATTTCCGTTCTGATTTCACATTTGGGGACGAAACATGCTGTAGGTGGAGAAACCCCTTTTCTAGGTTTACCAGTGTTTCTGAGCTGATGGAGTGATTACTGTGGACATAGGAATTTTTTTTACAGGTAAAACTGAATGATTTTATGAAGTCAGCCACTCAAGCCACAAAAATAAACATCTCCGTTACTCTGAAAAGTAGGCTAATGCCTAGCTCAATTGACTCAAAAACGCTAGTAAATGTAGAAAAGGGGTTTCTCTAAATTTCTTCTCGAAGATGAAACTCAGAAAGGAAGTATGAAGAAAAACGTATATTTTGCCACTTTGTTCCTTTGTAGTCTTGCCCTGATTACCCATAATGCCCCTTAGAACATGAACTCCTCTATTAGTGTTAAATGAAGTGGTGTAGATTTGGTTCAAAAATCTAGGATGTGAAGAGGGGATACTGATAGGGTTTACTTCAGAATTTTTGGTGGGACTGCGTTGATGATTCTCAAAACTGTTACCTTATTTGGAACCAAAATATGTGATTTTCCACACCATATTTTCAGACATGACCTCAAACATATGTAACTTTTTTTACACCCTAAATGATATTTGATCGTAACACTTTATCAAATATAATGACTTTTTTGTCTGTCTTGCTTTTTTGAAGATAACCTGACTTGATGTTCCCAGGAAATAAAAGTTATACCCTATTTCAATTGAAGTAGCAAAATCTATAGCCTTACTTTTAACTAAAAGGCCCATAATATAAACCATAACCCTTCTTAGCGTGCTGAAATCGTTACCAACAAAGCTTTGCAAAAAGTCTGTCTCTTATTTTTTGCAGACTGTGCGCTATCAAGTGCTCATCTCTCTCATGTTATCAAGTCAAACAAAAGACCAAGTTACTTTTGCAGCAATGGAAAAGTTGAAAGCTTATGGTTTAACAATAGAGAATGTTCTTAAAACTCCATCAAGCAAAATTGGGGAGCTAATCTATCCTGTTGGTTTCTGGAAGGTAAGTGCAAATTTGACAGTAGGAAAAAATGTCTTAAATTGTAGAGTATCCTAGGGTAAACTCAGCTCAATAACAATTATTATTAAGAGTGGCTTACAATATGATGGAAGCTATAGTGGAGTTGTATGTAACACTTTACTCTTACAGTGCCTCTCCCTACCAGGGGTCTAAATGGGTACCAACAGGTAAATTATTAGCAGGAGTATCCTGACAAAAAGCAGGGGGGGACCTCCAAAGGACTAGTCTCCCAAACAAGGGAGCAGTGATCAATACAGCAGGTCACCAATTCATGCTACAAAAACTGCTGCACTGCTTTAGAAGGGCTGACACTGATAAGCTTTCAAGTTTTGTCTAATCCATGTTTACTTATTTGTCATCTTAATATTGACGTTGCAGAAAAAGGCTGACTACATAAAAGATGCAACTAAAATTTGTGCTGAGAAGTACAATGGCGACATTCCACCCACAGTAGAAGAGTTAGTAAAACTCCCAGGTGTTGGCCCCAAGATGGCACACATTACAATGAATGTGGCATGGGGACAGGTGACTGGAATAGGTGTTGATACTCATGTCCACAGAATTTCCAACAGGCTGGGATGGGTGAAGAAACCCACCAAAGTACCAGAGGAAACAAGGCTTGCTGTGGAGAGTTGGTTACCGAGGTATACATCTTTAAATGCCATTTTTCTTTTCATTTTGACTTTTTTGTCAAAATAGAGATTCTTTCAAAAACAAAATTATGGATTATGGAATAGTTTGAATGCTCTCCCTCTCTTTTACATCTTGGTACTCTTCTTTACCTCCCTCTACCTCTTTGAAAGATTGTTCCAGAAGTCATGACACAAGGTATTCTTGGAATGGCCTTGCTGCCTACTGTGTTACAAGTGGACTTACACTCTGTGGTGCTCTCTTTCCGCAAAATGTGCTCAAATTTATCCATTTCTAAGGTCTTTTCTCTATTGTAAATCTTAATGAACTGGATCTTTTCTTGTTCATTCCATTGCCAGAAATATTTTCCAGGCCACAAGGTGATTTTATCTGTCTGTGTGAAACTGGATAGAACTGGGTACCACAAAAATGTTTTTTCTTCTGTTATCTCTATTAGGGAAGAATGGGATGAACTTAATGTGTTGCTGGTTGGATTCGGTCAACAGACATGTCTTCCCATAGGACCACTGTGTGAAATGTGCCTTAACTGCAAGATATGCCCTGAAGGACGTAGAAATACCAGGGGGAAACCCAATAAGAAAGTAAAGGAAAAATCTTCACCAGAAAAAGGTGGAAAGGCTGCTTAAAATAGAACTATGTATCTACATTGGTAGGAGACAAAAACAAAAGGTATTATGGTATCTTTGGAACCCTACTGTACTTCCACCTGGTTGTTGTTCCTGCATCTGGACTTAGATGACACATGCTTTTGTGAACAAGAGTACGAGCAGTTTTTCCCTTGCATAGGTAGTGATCTAGCCCAAGTCAGTCAAGTCAACTGAGGTCAAAAGCTACATGCTGATGTGATAATGTACATAACATGACACTTTGTGAACTATGTCTAAACAGTGGAAATGGTGAGAGGTCAACAACTAATCACTTTTCACTTGCAATTCTTGAACTGAATTGCATACATTTAAGGTTTACAATAGCTAGAAAACTCGAAATAAAAAGGCAAGTTAGCAAGTAACAGCTATTCAGAATTAAAAAAACTGCATTGTTCCATTTTATCAAGTGAATTTTATTAAATATTATTGTCTTTCTAGGTCATAATGATAATGATGAGGACAATGATGTACTTCACAACACTTCTTTAGTCACACAAAACTCCAACCCCAGCAAAAGTCAAGTCACACCTATATTATAATATTTATTAAGTTCCCACTCATCAATAAAGAGAAAACTCCATTGATAGAACAATCTGTTTCTATCATTGAAGATGCAATGTGAAATTATTGAAAATTTGAACAATGCAAAGTTTATTGGAAAACATGTATCAGCTATGTACACTAAAATTTGAATAATAATTTTTGTATCCCTCCATTGTTTCCCCTCCATTGCTGCTCAAAAAACAGGACAAAACAAGCAATGCCTCGACACCCATCCCTCTACATCAATCCCATTTGGAGCAGACTGAAAATATCACCCATGTCTGAATGGTTGATATTTGTGTCCAATAATATTGTTTTCACATATACTGACTATATTTGCCACAATTTAGTGGCAAATTGTTTTTTTTTTTACAGTATTTACATACAGTGGAGGATAACCTTGCATGATAAACCCACATTATCTTAAATTAAACCTTGCCTCTTTGGGAAGAAGCAGTATTTTTGGACTCGAAATTATCCTTACTGTAAATCAAATGTTGATATTGGCTTCTGACTGATACAATGTAGCACAGGTATTTTGTTGTCCTAGCCATGATCAAAACAAAAACATCCCTCCTATAACTGTCTTGTTTTATATTGAAAGCCAGACTCAGAGTAGAGTCATGCTTATATTTCATGAACCATACATGTACAGTAAAAGGGGACAAGACAGTTCTGCTCTAGAATTTATTAGGAGTGTATCTTGTTCCAAACAAGGTAAATCCAATTTCATTCCATGAGGGTGCCTCAAACAGCACTCCTTTCTGTTTTGGAATAGCTTGTTCGTGGCAGCCATTTCTTGTCATCTTTTGGATTTCTTGCAAGGGCAGAAGCTTGATACCAAATGACTTGGCTACTTTTCTGAAGGTGTGACTTTTCCCAATCACAATTCCAACATCTGATTTCAATAATGCCAGTATGTCGCCAATTGAATCACCAACAAAGACTGAAATTCCATCAGAACTATCCACAGATCTGTTGCGGACAAGATCCTGGAATTTAATTTCCTTGTCAAAGGCACTTCTCAATTTCTTCCCAATAATGCCTGAAGATAGTTCACCCTCAAGTGGAAGGCTATTTGCAAAGATGTTCAAATGTCTGAGGTGACCCAGGTTTGCATGGATCAAGTCCTGACACCAGTTAACTGATATCAAATGTAGTGGTAAGTTGACGTGATTAAGAACATTCAGACACCCAGGATTAAGCTTAACTTCTTTTGCAACTTCTTTGATGGCTTCTTTAGAAATTCCTTTAAGAATTTCACTTGCTTCAACTTCCTTAGTCATTTTCAAGTCAAATTTGTGCACCTCTTGTAGGAATGACCTCAGTCCTTTCTCGTCAAATGCTGACATATCAGGATCTGCATGAACAGAGAGGGACTTGGCCACAACCTCAAGGTGACCAGTCCAGTACTTCTTTCCCAGTTCATTCCATTGTTCATCGATAGCTTTTATTTCAGCTTGAGTAGAGGAGCAGTACTTTTCTGTTGCCTTGTACAGAAGGCTTGTTGTATCCTTTTGGGTACAGGTGCCGTCAAAATCAAAGGCGAACAGATTTACTTTCAAGCCAATCCATTCTGGTTCGCATGTCATTAATGCTGACGATGTTAGACCTGCCTCCATGATGGTAGCCATGACAACTGAATTTAAGAAAAAAGATTAACACCTTTCAGCACAAAGCTCAAAGCATTAACTCTCTAAAATGATTACCAGTCAATCTTTTCATTGTTCTGAGAATAATTCAGTGTCATCAACACAACACAAATAACTTCTAGCTGAGGTTCCTTTCCTCTTAGGACAGTTGGGACGAAAAGCCAAATTTTAAACTAAATCCCTACGTTACTTCGTTTTTTTGTTTATGGATAGAGAAGGTGCCCGCTCAAAACATTCAAAAGATGTTCATTTTCATAAAATGAGGGCGTTCACGCGTGACTTAACCGAATAAATATGTGGTTTCTGAGCATTTGACACAAAACATTTTTTTTTAGCTTACACGAGTTTAGCTTAGCTTTTATCAACGGTTTCAAACTGCAGCCATAATTAGGAAATAAAATGCGTATAACTTTGTGGCCAAATCCGAACAGAATTGGCCGAAATCATTGCATGTTTTGCTCCGTTACGTAATCAGCTTCCTATTTGTCAGAGAAAAATCGAGAAATGCAAACAAAGTAGCCTACCTTTAAGGGTAAGAGTTGCTACAAAGATGTTCAAAGGAATCCTCAGACCATTGATTCTGTAAAATCGCGCAAATCTAACCATAAATTTGTCCCTCGATCTACCACAGACAGCATATACAATTTCGCACTTCCGAGAGTCCTTTGTTTATGCTGCGTTGTATCGCCTCGCTTCTGAGTTTTGTGTTCTTACAGGAAAAACCGCATAGCAAACAGATCGCGGCAGCAAAGTTTTGTCATTCAAGATGGCGGGACAAATGGCAGCAAACGCGTTGGAGAAAGTTTCAGATACGTTTTCGTTCGCAAAGAAGGTATTACTTTCTGTTAAATAGAGCAAAAATTACTCTTCTCTTATTATTTGAAATATATGCGAATTCAGTGAAGGTTTATTTCTTATTCGAGAATGCAAAACTTGAGTTGTACTTGAAGTATTTTTCAAACCTGTTCCCAATATTCCAGATTCCGATGCTGATGAAAGCGACCTCAGACGACGATAATCCAACATCTGGCTACATATACCAAGAAGTCAACAGTATCTTTCCCGCTTAACTTGAAAATTTAGTTTGAAAAGTATCTTGAATTAGAATTCATTTACTCACATGCCTAATTTGTAACAAGCCTGCATAGTTCTTACCCTGGTCCCAGAGGATTTTCTTGATTTTTCTTCTTTTCGCGAAGCGGCGAACACGAGTCGTGAATTGGCAAGAAAGAAAAACCTCAGGTTACCTTGGACTTGAATCTCACTTTCATGCAGACGCCAGCTGTCAAACGCATCAAATTGATAATTACAAAAGGGACCAATGGCAACTTAGCAATCACATGCTTTCAGCCGCTAGCAATGATAGTGGTTGCAGATTTTTGTTGGGGATATTTGCTTTGTCAACTGTAATTCCTTAAAATTTTGGCACACATTTAGTGTGAGCTTCAAATTGGCTGAAATATAAAAAATTGTCGAAGGTAACCTCTTACTTAAGCTTAACTTGACTCATGACTTTGAGTGCTCAACTGTGGCTCCCACTGCATGAAGTGACTAGGAGCATTGCTACACACCCTGGATAAGATGCCAGTCCATTACAGGCATTCTGTCTGGTTCTAACAATTTGCTAGTACCTAGTACTCCTGCATGGAGAGAGGTACTGAGAGTTAAAGAAGATGGATCATGTGTACTAAAGGCATCCATGGTCAAGTGTTGATTACTACCCTCGATCAAGACTCCATCGACACCTCAGTTGACACTTGATCGACGCTCCATTGATATCTTGGTTTAGAGTAGACCAAATTTTTGATCGATTCGTATAAGTTGGTCGACACTCGGCTAACTATTGACTGACTGTTGATCAAGGCTGATAGAGTGTCAACCAAGTATCGATCTTGATGTTGATCAAGTATTGATTGAGATGTCAGTTGGGGGTATCGATCAAGAGAGAATCGAGCGACACTCTGTCATGAATGCCTTTAGTACACACAATCCAAGTAGCTTGCCTAACAATGCAACACAATGATGTCAGCCAGCGTTCAAACTCAGGCCACTAGATCTGGAGTCCAGCAGTGGAACACATGAGTAATGGTAACTCCTCCATAAATATTATGAGGTTATGGACAACTATTTCATTTTAACCCTTGAACAATAACAAATATCCAGGGTTGTCACAATGTTTTGAAGTCAGTGACATTGTTTTTGGATTAGGTGGCTGATTTTTTTTATCTGTTTTAAGTAATTGGACATTTTGACTACCCTAATGTCTCCTGCCTTTTCAGGAGGTACTACCCCAGACTCCTTCCCACCCCAGCTCTCAAATAGAAAGTTACATCTAAAATAAAGAGGATTTATTGGTAGATTTATTATGAATGAAACCTCCATTTGTTAAATGTTTCTTGATAAACTTGTCAGGTATAACTTATGAATCAATTAGCAGCTGCAACTCTCTTTTGGATTTTTTAGTTGGCAGATTGAAAAAACAATCTCCACATATCAAATACAAGGTAAGAGTAAAGACGGCAGAAAATTCTTGTAGTATTATGGCATTTGCATTTCAAAAGCAGGTTAATTCATAGGTTTTGGCATGTTTAGGACAGTAAATAACTTTAGGCTCCAAGCAATCCTTCTCTCTCTAACTTGTGCCTCAACTTGTGTCTTTATCTTTGTCCACTACATAAGCCTTGCTAAGTCAAGTTTAGAACTGTAATGGCATTTTAATATACTCTTACTACTCTTAGGTTCTTAAAATCCTGTGCTACGTAGGAAGCAATGGCCATTCTGAGTTCAGAAGTGCACTTCGACACCAAGCGGGCATTGTTAGAGAAGCTGAAAGTGAGTACAGTGTGATGCCTATAGGCATGTGTTACATCAGTATTTAATGAGTAATGTTTTACATGTAACCCTATAAATTAATAAATGGCCCATCAATATATTAAGATTGCATGTATCAAGAAGAGACTTGGTAGATACAAATGAGTATTGTTTTAATAGCATTTTTTTTTGAAGGGGAAAAAGATTGGGCCTATATTGTTGTATTGAGTAGAGAGACAAATAAATTTTACCTAAATTTCTGTTTTGGCCAAAAAAAACAATAGGTTTCTTCATTTAATATTTGTCCTGTGCTCAAGATACAGGTTATTTACTTCAATATGATCAAGCTTACCATTTACTTCTCAAGTGTTCATTTAAAAATTAACATTAATAAATAAGTAAATGATAATCATTTATGTATTAAATCAATGTGCCCAATGAGTAATTTTGATATTGTTTGACCAATTTGACCAATGGTACCTTTGATGCCTGTTAAAATCACCTCATGCTGTTAATATGACTGTGTTTGATAATACTTAGACTTACTGACTTGGTTAGTAGACCTAATTTGAACATTTTGTGATATATTTTGTTCTCTATAACCAATAATCAATACTATTGAAAGGTTACATACTAAAATACAACAAATACTGTGAATGTTATTTCAGGTTTTACTGGTCAAATGGATTATCTAAGAGGTGATGCCCTTAATCAGCGAGTGAGAGCTGCAGCGTCAGTAAGTTATGAAATCTTTTGTTCAACTGGTTTTTAACTGTTAGGACTTATTTTATAAAAAGATTGTTATATTGTACAATAAACACAAGCAACTACACAAACATGGAAGAAGTGTAAAAAAAACATGAACCACAAGTATTTTCGCTACTTAAATTTCAGAACCCTGTCACCTCTGTTTTGAGCTGTAAAATTCAAAATTAAACGATAGAGTTACAATAAGTAATAGCTACATTGCTTAGACGAACTCAAAATGGACTCTTAAACATGAATAGTGCTTTAATGCTTTGCACCAACGTTATGGTTCGTTATAACGTTCTGAAGGTAAAGCTACATTGTTTTAGGTTTAGGTACAATAAAGCTTATAGTTTGCTGACCTTTGGAATACAACTGCTTATGCAAGCAAGCAATGCCGCCATGAACGGCTCATTGAGAATGTACGTCACGCTCCATTTAAAACTATATTTTTTGGCGTGACAGTAAAATCTCATATAATGTTCAGAGCAAAAAAGTGGGATTTCTGGGATGAAATTTTTATTTTTCTTGATGAGCTTGTACTTGAAAAAGAAAGACTATCATAAACTTTTAATGAATGTACTTTTACGGTGATTTCTAGTCTGTACTGCACACTGTTGAGAGTTTGTTTACATTGTTTCTTTTGATTTATGTAAGATATCCCAAAATGAAATATTTTGCAACTACTTACATTCATGAAGTAAATTCAAAGTTTCATGTCAACTGCTATTATGGATGCAAAGCTTTATGTTTTATTTTTTAATTTTTGTTTTTGTTTTGTTTTTGTTTTTGTTTTTTCTGATAACACTTGATGAAACAACTATGTAGCTATAAAAATAAAAGAAACTGCTGGAAAAAGAATTTAATTTAATGCATCAAAGATAAGGTAAGCCATTTGTAACAAATAACATCAATTTACATTCCTTCAAGTGAGACTCGTGACAAACACTGGCCTGGGGTGCTGAGACTGTGCAGTAAGGACTGGAAATCATATTTTAAGTGAAGCATGTCAAATTTACTACCAAGAGCTTTGATTGTAATAAAAAGTGATTACTATTTGATGTTTTCATGCAGGAATTGATTGAACTTCTCTTCAATGTTGAGAACACTGGATCAACAACCATGCATGGTAGGTGAGATGGCGGTTAGTGTAAAAATCCTTAATGTTTTGAAATTTCCAGGGGATATTACATGTAAAAAACAGAGAGGGAACACAAAGCAAGAATAAGAGGGGTCCTTTGATCAAATCACAAAGTACAGGTGGAAATATCATTTTGTGAGGGATGCTTACTGTCAGTAACAATCTTCCATTGATACTGAATTCACAGGGTTTCTTGGGAGACAATAATTGATAGCTAACTCTGAAAAAAAGTTATTTTATTCTTCAAGTTTAATACCTCCAGAGACCAAATGTAATATTATACATCAAGCACAAGAGACTGTGTAGTTTAAGCATCACTTTTCTACGCAGATTTTTTATAATAATTATTAAATATATTCCTTGCAAACTTGTAGCGATGACAGGACCAACTGGAAAGAAGATGGAAGGATTTGGAAATTCACCTTCACAACCAGCAAGTAAGTATAACTATGTTGCCTTAAAGCTACAAAGAATGTCAGTTGTTTGCATTGATTTCATAGTATGACTTGTGTCTCACCATATGTAATTTAGGACCAGTATAGTAGACTCTAGTGGGGGATCTTAATGCAATGCGACTGAACATGCAGCAAGTTCTATTATATAATTAGAACATTTAAGTCTGATATCAGAGCTTGCATATTTACGGTAAAAGTTTGTTTCATTGCCTAGGGCACATATCAAATCATTCTGTGAACTACACACACTCTGTGACAATCATTCATATTTGAAGCAATATAGCTACATGTAGGTAAAGTCTGCATACAAACTAAGTGGCCCATCAGGCCGGTGCTTATCCCGGTTTCTGTAGCATGAAGTTACTAGCAGTTTTTCTACTCCCCCCTCCGCCCTCCCTCCCTAATGGGATGCTGGTCCATTGCAGGGTTACCTCCAGCATTCTTAGGTTACTGGTACCCATTTATACACCTTTTGGTGAGAGGCAGTGTCAGAGTCAAATGTCTTCCCCAAGAACACAACACTATGTCCCCAGGGCTCAAATCCAGACCACTCAATCTGGAAGCAAGCGCACTAACCATAAGGCCACCCTGCCTCCCACACATTTGAAGTAATACATCAAAACAAAAGATCATGTTTGACCACAGTCATTTCCAAACACCAAGAAGAAACTTGAAAATACAATGTGTATTGGAGTATTTTTGATGAACACTGAGGTGTTTGGAAATGTGGTTGAACACTGTCTTGAGTGTTTGATATCTTCTCAATGGAAACTAAAACAAAGAAGAAAATGGAGAAAGAAATGGTAAAAATCTATGCTAATTAAGATCAGATATCCGAACACTGTCACAGTCATGATTTCCTTGGTTTAAAATTGATGTGTGGTTTTCTGCTGGCTGAGGAATGAATAAAACAAAAAACGTTTTTCTCACACACTGTTTGGAGACTGAGTACAAGTTCGTGTGGGGTTTCAAGTCAGGTTTTGTTATCTGCCAGTGCCTGACATGCCCCACCCACCCACCCATGAAGTATTTTTAGAGTCTATTAAGAAGTTGCAGTGAATTTATTCTCTAGCCACTTTTTTGTGCTGTTGTAAGACAGTTATGTTAAGTGTTGTTATGTTAATAAAGGTCAGGCTGCGTGGTTCAGCTTGGCATGGCTCCCAGCAGTGTGTGGGAATAATTATTATTGAGTTTGTGAAGTGTAGTTCATAATATATGTCTTGCGTATTCATTATGTGAGCTTTTCAAGCACTCAGTGTTTGCAATTTCCTTTTAATGTGTCGCACTCACTGTCAATTTCTTGCATATGTGTGGTTAGTTGGTAACATGCGCTTTCAACAGCTTTCTTTTGTCTTTTATTGCTCTCTAGAGAATAAAACATGGCTAGACTCTGTAAAAAACCTAGCAGAACGTTTTCCAGATACAGCTAGTCGTTTGACGTCCAAGAATGAGAAAGAATACATGCCAACAACTGGTGGATCAGGCATTACATTTGTGAACTACTCTGAGTCTTCAAATGTTGATTCAGGTATTTGTACATTTATCAATTGAGGCATTCATTAAAAATTCTGTCATGTTGGTACTAGGTTTGTTCTAGCATGACATTTGATATCAAAACTCAGAGGCATTTCTTGATTGTGTCGTTCTAGAAAATATATCCACCCCACAGAGATACACTGCAAATTCTGAGGGAGAAGAGCTAGGTCTCAAAGGCATGAAATTTTGTATATATTTTCTGGCACAACACATGATCTTTCAATGATCACTTATTGTATGCTTGTTTTGATGAATATAATGATATTTCCCATATGAGGATGAGATACACAAATTAATGTATTACTTACACAAGGTTTTTAGACAGATTAACAAAGAAACTGTTTTCCATGTAAATTTCTTCACAGGTTTTAAGACATTTCTGGATGGTGAAGACTCTGATCAGTAAGACATAACTCTTTTGTCTATGAATTTAATTTACTGAGATCCTCAATCTGATGATGATCACAATTAAGGAAGCAGACACCTCAGCATACACTGTAGCTTAAGAGCCTTAGTTTGTAGCAAAAACCACTGCGATGGACTTCACTAGTGATATGAGTACATTGACAACATTTGACACAATAGTATTCTGAATGCTGTGTTTGCATTTTGTTGAATAAAATATGAAGTCTTCAGGGTGTAACCCTTCAGGCATGCTCTTACTATGATGCACTAGCCTAAAAATCATTCTCACTAGCCTGCAATAAGTTTATCTCTTACAGTTCTTCTAAAGTAGCCAGACTGGAAAATTCACTAGTCCTCAGCTATTGCACATTTTCTTTGCATAATGTCTTTCATGCTTGTGTCATGCTAATAGTGTTGTATTTGTTTGCTCATGAAAAACAGGCTCTAACTAAGAAATAATTGTTGTGTGGTTAAGTGTATTTCATCTGTTATTACTGCTGGAACTACCAGTAATGATTTATGAGATCAAGTATTTGGTTGCCTGTCCCTAAAATAGTGATCAGTAATGCCAGCCAAAAGCAATATAAATTATAGAATTTTGTATTGTCCTTTAAGGTCAGCAGAGGACCAAGAAGCAGGTGAACCAGAAAACACGTTGTCTGTAGAGGGTCATCTTGTTGACAATATCACATCTGAAGGTGGAATACGTGCTGTGCCTTCTAAAGAAGCCTTGAACCAGTTCACAAAAAGGTAAAACAATTTCAAGTCTTTTATTCCAATGGAACAGAGCCCTCTGCATAAAGGCATAAAGGCTTATCAATCCTATAGATTCTTTTTTCACAGTCAGGTAGTAGACTGCTTGCAGTGTGGTTTTCTCTTAAAGATCAGGAAAGGAGTATGGACAAGGGAGACAAGAGGGGATTGGAATGAAACACATGCACATTTTGTGTCAACCCCTTGTCGTTCATTCTGCCTTTTTTTTCATAATTTTTACCCTCACAAGGATACAACTCTTATCACACCCTAAGAGAACAAGCAGATTGTAAGCAGTCAAGTTTCCATGATTACAATTTACCACCTTTTAACATTAAAGTTTCTCCAAGAGCACAACATGTAATGATCCTACCTTGACCAGGACTAAACACACAACCCTTGGTCTAGAATTTAATGCAGAAACTGCTAAGTTGAAGAGTCCAGTGAAAGATGGCGTGACCATCTCAAGTGATTCTTGAATACTGGTTGTATAAAAACGATTGTCTCAGCGCTTTTTGTGGGGCCATTTATATATGAAGCTTAAGCAATGGGGTGGCCATGTTAACTACCATAAATACCGGCGGATAAGCCACACCTTTTTACACTAACTTTTCCTCTAAAAATTGGTAATTATCATAACAATGTCACCGTAAGGCCTTTGTCCTCCATAACTATCTGGCTCAACTGGCTGTCTCCATGCCTTACAATCCTATGATGTTTAATGTGCACAAAAGTAATTGGGGATCAGATATCCTACACATACCTTCATGAAGACTTTCTTTCTCAAAAGGTGTTCTACCTTGAATCTTAATAAAGTGCTGGAGGCTCTAAACAACAGATTGTTGGAACCAGTAACAGACGTGCAGTTGGTAGGTACATGTAAATGTACATGTAATTGTAGGTGATTGTATGGGGCAGAGTGAAATTAAGGAGAAATATCACACTATTTGCTGACATTGCCCTTGTTGCACAGATATGAGTGCAATTTGCAAATGGTCCATGCTCAAGTGATTTAAATCTGTTGCTTTATGAGCTCTGAGTTTTGAAATTAGTTTTTTAACTTACATCGTCCAGAACACAGAATCAGCATGTTTGTTTTTAGAAGTCAGGTAACTTAAAAATTGCTGTGATCTTCAGCAGTCTTACAGTATGCCGAAAACTTTCTAGGAGTATTCTAGGTTTTTTACTATAATAATTGTTGAGCTTTGTAAATACATGGATCAATTCAATATAATATAGCAAGTGTTCTAGACTAACTGTTGTTATTTGTTTGTTTTGGTTTTTCCATATCTTTGTGCCAAAGTCATTCCTTTAACTGTCCTGTAGCTCAACCAGTCCTTTTCACTTTTTCTAGAAATCACTCCATGTCTTAGAGCATCTCTTAAAAAGTGATATTCCTTGTGTGGCCAGTAGAATGTCTCAACATTGCACAAATCTACAAGAGATTACAAGAACAGAAAGTGGTAATGTGCTTTCTAAAGCTAAAAAGGTGAGTCACTGTTTGAAAATCCAGTCATCGTTTGCGTTTTTATGGATGGTAACAAGTTCCTCCTGAGACTACTTTTTTTTGTCCATAAATTTCTAATCAAAACATCACTTGTACCATTCAATATTTTACTGTCAATTGAGAAACTTTCTAAAGGAAGTTCACTTCTTAATGAAAAGCCTCACTTGCTCTGGAGTGATGGCCAGCTGGTTGGGATTTCTTTAAATGAAGCAAGCTCTGTCACTACCAAAAGCAAAAACTCCAGATTCAAATTCTAACTCATTTTTCATGATACTGAATTGAAAACAAGTTGTACCCTATGAATTTACTGAGCACTCAGTAGCCTTCATTTGATTGGTCACACACTAGTGACTTATCCAGAGACTAAACAGTTTGGGTAATTTTGACGTAAAGTTTGAATCTGGAACTGGGCACTGAACTTTTGAGTCTTATGCAGACACTCAAAACCACATTGAAAAGTTACCCAGACACCTATACTTTCAGGTTGTTTTGTTTTTCAGATCATCTTATTGATTAACGTAAAAGTGGAGAAAGAGAAAGTCCAAAAAGGTCAGTGCCTTGCATTTTATTTTATTTCCATAGAGAAAAATACTCTCATTCCGGCGTGGGCGGCCTGGGCCTGCTCACCAAGAAAAGTTTGACATTTAAACACCCGGAAATACGTTTTCCAGACGGTATAAGGGTCTCAAGAAAATGAAGACTACCCTTACCATACTCATTGTTTACTATTTGACAAGATGTGCAAAATTTCATCTATGGAATAACAGAATGACGATCCACAGACTTATAAGTTCAATATAATGAACAGTAGCATATGAAAGTACGTCTTAGTACCTTTGATTTGAATGGTTATACACCGAGGTTTAATCTACAAAATTAGATGTGAGAACTACCTTTCAAAATAAATTCAGTAAGGAACAACTGGGTTTGAATACATGGTGAGTTTTGAAAGCATTATTTGTTTTTCCTTTCAGACGTTCACACTACAAGAGAGGTGGCCAGCGAGGATCTTTTAAATGTACGGAATGTAGGAGACCTCATTTGTTTGTTTGAGTATCCTTGTTTATTATTGCAATATCAGGACTTTTTAATTAAAACGCGGTTATTTAGGCCCACACGAAAATTGCAAAGAAAATGTACAAATAAGTTGACACATAAATAAGTGACTTGAAATGTCCTTAGAGAAAACAACAAAACAATGTCTAGTATGGCAACTTTTCTTTTTTTTCTTGCGATATGCTAAAATTCCTTAATAATTCCTTTCCAATACTTTTTGGCAGGTGGGTGATGCTCAAAGTTCCTTTGCACAACAGTTTGCAGTGGATGACACTCCAACTCTATTTTCTGGAATGAGTTTGCACTCGGTAAAACATACAATTTGCTTACTGACCACAGTAATACATTAATATTAATTTGAATTAATAATATTAATATTAATTAATATTAATTCTCTTGGCCCTGTCCAAGGAGAAATGCAGATCTATACCTAGAAAGGATGAATAATCTTTTGTATACACTGTACACTTGAACTGACTATCTACTGAACCAAGTTTTGGAAAGTATCATCATTTGTGTTTGCTAAGTTGTGATAACAACAACCACAACAAAAAACAAAAACTTTTATTTCACTCCAGAGTTAGGAATTACACTCATTTTATAGAGTAAAAACAAAAATGACAGGGGTGCTGGATACCCGAAATAACCTACGAGTTTAAAATGCCAGGCAGCCACTTAAAAAAAAAAAGATTTTTTACATGTTCAGGTCAAGGACACAAACAAACATAGACACACACTCAAACAGAAATAAACAAGGTTAAGCTAACTACAAGTAGACTAAAGTTCTTACATTGCAAAACAGTATTTTTATACAGGAAGAGCGATGTGCCGATATCTAATAATTTTTTTTTTTTGTTTTCACTTTGCAGAAGACAGAGATCACTTCAAGATCACAACCGTTTGTCTCCAATACAACTATTTCTGAGAAAAGACCCTCAGAGGACGTACTTGATGTTTTTCAGGGACTTGATCTTTCCAGTAGAAATCACACGCTAAAAAATGAGAACAGTTCCAGACAAACGTCCCACAGTTCGAAATCAGAGTTAGATGATTTGTTCTCTGTGACTGCAGAAAATACAGGACCTACTTTCGTCAGTAAAGGTCAAGAACCCGTCAAGGATAGCGTGACAGATCTGTTTGATCCCTTGTGTAACGACGGTGCGAGTTCTTTTGGAACACATGTCACGCAGCCTTGCGTAACGTCAACCATTGAACCAGGAAATGAACGTTTTTCGGATTCAAGGACGAACAGTGAAACAGGCCCACAGCTAATAAGTTATAGAAACAGTTTGATTTCTCCTCAAGGCAATATCTTACCACCAGTTAGTTCGTCAAATGAAAATAGGGTCAACCCAGGTTTAGATGGCTTACATGCTCTCAGTAATTTGAACAGTTTGTCACACAACAGAACTACGGAACCTCAGGTCACGTTGCCAAGGAGTGGTTTACTAATGGCAAACCAGCATTCCTCAAATTTTCCGAACAATTCTCATCCAGCACTCCAATTTTCTGGTTTAAGTGGCTCTTCCACGATTCCTTTGAGACTTCCGAAACAGCCGAGTCAAAGAACGGACTTCAGTTTTGTGGGGAAATCTGGCAAGGCCGATGCGTTCAGTTTTGTCCAAGATGAAATGAAGGCGAGAAAGTAGAAAATTTACGAGACCTTATAATATGTTTTTAAGTCTCTGTGTACATTGTAACCTTAAAGTATTACTTTGCCAAGGTACGAAAACACCAAAGATGAACCGAACCAAGCCGTTGGTCAATAAAATTATATTTAGAAAAAGGCGTTTAAAAATAGCTGGCAAGCGCGATCAGTCTGGAAGAAAAAGGAGTGGTCCAGCTGAAAGATCTGGACTGCGAGGTTAACTAATCATATTGCAGGAAAAAACAGGAAAATAAAAGTTCTTACGGCTGGTAACGATTTCAGCATTTTCCTGTTCTTTTACTTCAACACTGTGGTATTCTGTTAAAGAAGTGAAACAATAAAGAACTGGAGAAGATATGCCAAGAAGATGACTACTACTTGTTCACCGATAATTGGACATTTCTTCGGTGCCATTTTCATGCGGCATTTAAGAGCACCCTTAAGCTTCATGTTCTCATAACCCTTGTGCCACTGAACCCCTTCCAGATACTCGTTACCGTTTCTAGCTACCTAAGGCGTTTATGAGACCATAGTTACTATGATGGGACCTTCCACAAAAAATCTCTCAGGGCGTTTTTTTACAGGATTGCGTGAAACTTCGTTGAGAAGGCACCTGTGAAAATATTGCCAGAACAGGGCTAAACGTATGAAAACATTGCGTTTAGCTCCCCAAAATGAATGCGGCACGTACATTTATTTTCATGTTAGTCCTAGAACTAAGGTAATAGCCGCAAGTTTATGATTATCGTAGTTAGGTGTCCCCAGTTAGTATACATTGTATGCTAGCGACTTCGACACGTTAATAAAGTTCTTATCTTATCATAGCTTTATTCTCGTCACCAGTCTCCTTACCGATATAATGCGTTTGGGGTAAACCAGCTTCATTAAACTTCTTAAAATCCTTATTATGTAGTTAATGTGCACGCAGGCATTTTTCTTTGATGTTTCTACTACAATCTTGAACGAATTTTTTTGTGAGAAGGTCTCGATAAAAAAGTAAAATCGAGGAGCGCGAAGGGTCACGGAATTAGGGAACGCGCATCTCAGTCGACTTCAATCCACTTAATAATAATAATAATAATAATAATAATAATAATAATAATAATAATAATAATAATAATAATAAAAAGGTTCTTATTGCGCATTTAGAATTCTCAATGCGCTTACAATTGTATACGATTAAAAAGAATAAAAACCTAACTAAAAGATGCAATTATTTAAATCTATGACTAGGTTAAAAACTATTACAAAAAAGAAATGTGTTAAGGTTCTTTTTAAGAATCGCTATGCTCTCAGACTGTTTGATATAAAAAGGTAGGTCATTCCAAGGTTTCGTGGCGTAAAAAGAAAAGGATCTTTGACCGTATGTTCATGTTTTCACGTCCGGAACTTGTAAGGGTAATTGGCCAGATGATCGAAGAGAACGAGCTGGTTTATAGGCGTTAAAAAGAGAAGTTAAGTAGGTTGGTGAAAGACCATTAAGGGCTTTGTAGGTTAATAGTAGGAT